GAGCTATAGGGAAATACCAAACGATCTTTACGGGACCTCTTCTTGTCTTGGTACCCTCACCTGATGGCCCTTCCTTATACTGTGGAGCTTCACACTTGGGACACTTATCCAAGTCTTTGTATTTTTCTCCATGGTACAATATGCAATCATTGAAACACACGTGGATTTTTTCAACCTCAAGGACGATGGGGCAGATCATTTGCTTCGCCAAGTATGTCTTTTCTAGCAACTCATTTTTTCTAGAAGCATTTTTCTTATTATACCTAACAACTGATCGAAGCCTTTATCGCTCAATCCGTTTGTCGATTTGAACCCTAACAACATAATGTTGGCTTCCAGTTTGCTCATTGGACAATTCTTATACAATGGTATTTTGTCATCTTGTCTCATTTTCTCTAGCTTTATCAGCTGTCTTTCACTAAGATATCCGGTCGCTACATTACGTAGCAGCTGAGAAATGCTATCATTATCCTCGGTGTCGTCAGCTAGCGTGTTCCTAAACATATTATTAACTATGGCCATAGGTTCCGTGTTGACACCGGGTTCCTCGTTAGCATCGTGGATGGCTATGTCAGGCATATCCATATCATCATCGTTTTCCTGCGGAACATTTACACCAACCTCGCCATGCATAGTCCATATCATATAGTTTGGCACAAACTCCCTAGTAATCAAGTGTGATCGTATAGACTTAATTTGACGAAAGTTCATTTGATTCTTGCAATCTTTGCATGGGTAGAAGACATGGTTCCCATTCCCAGCATGGGCTTTGGCATCGGTGATAAACTAGCTGACGCCATGCATGTACTGCTTGTCCGTTCAGGACAGATACATCCACACTCGATCCATCTCTGCACAAAAAAATATTGAGACAGTAATTACAAAGAATTAATAAGAAATCGAGCTTCATTAACAACAATTATAGCTCGAAAGTATCATTTTTGAAAAACATTATTGTACACTAATTATTGAAAAATTGAAATTGGTAGCGTCGGCCCTGTAAATTGAAAATCGTAGTAAAAACAATTATTGCACAATAATGATGAACAACTATTCTACTCTATGCCACATAAAAATGGAGAGACTTATTTTAAAAAAGGCTAAAATTGGAGACATGATCCACGAACAACAATGTAGCTACAAATAATGCCCATATAAATTGAAAAACACAGCCCCATAAAAAAATTATTGCACAATAATGAAGAACAATTATTCTACTCCATGCCACATAAAAATGGAGACACTAATTTTAAAAAAAGTCTAAAATTGGAGACATGATCATGAACAACAATGTAGCTCCAAACAATACGTTGTTATGTGACACAGATTAATTTTCTCAATAAATTGTAAAAGAATCTACTCTACTTCTAAGAACTAATTATAGCATTACATACTAACAATGATGATCTTGACCACTATGGAATAATTAGCTAGGAATTTAAATGTGTTCATAGACACCAACCTTTTGAATGATGGATTCACCATAATTTGAGCCTTGCACAAATGTCCAATTGGAAAAGTACTCTCTAAAATGGAGAAAGAACTAGAATAAGAATCAAGCAATGTAGCCATCAAAATGAAGCTAATGAAGCAACAAAATCAAAGGAGTGAATGTTTGTTACTAACCTTAAAGAAAAAGATCAAGCTATTCTTCAAAATCCAAGCGCTAGCTTCATGGTAAAGAGCAACCGCAGCAATGGAGGGAAGGGCCCAAACGCGCGCCTCTGTTCTCGGGATGGGAGAGAGGAGGAAGGATAGGACGGCTGCAGCTTTTTTGTGCTGTAGGCTTATCACCGTCGGTTCTTCGCTAGAACCGACATTGATAGAGCCTAATCACTGTTGGCTCTTGGCTTGAACCGGCAGTGATATGTGGCCGTCAAGCCACTGCCGGTTAGAGACACAAACCGGCAATGATAGTTGTCATCACTGTCGGTTCGGTCGCATCCCAAATTAATTTCTGGTTTTCAAAGCCAAGAATCGGCAGTGAAGGGTCAACACTGCCGATTCTCCTAATTCCGGCAGTGATGAGGCCGACAGTGAAGTGCTATTCAGTGTTCTCTGGCAATCCCCCTTTTGCACCATTAAAGCGACTCCATTTTGTAGGAGGGATAAAATGTACATTTAACATTTCCGTGTATCAATAATACCCCTCACCACCTGTAGCATATTCCTAAATACAAAGATACCCCACGATGACCCCACTCCCAGGCTTACACATAGTTTTATACATGGAATTAACTACCTTTCACCTTGGGCCGGACCCCTCGGTCGGGCCCAACACCTCGCATATTTATCTCCCTGAGCCAGCCTTGGCTATATCTCTGACACTTCCAATGGCGATATAACATCATCTATCAGAAAGTCTGGTGCTCTTAATTTTTTTCCACCATTGTACAGTCATTGTGCTCAAATGCACAATCAGCCTCAACTTCAACCGCTTCTGACATGAATGTCTCGTGCTCACATTTTCTACCCGCAGGACAGTTCAGTCCGTTTATTTTCACCGAGCCACAAAACCCTAGTTTCTGTTGAATGTTCGTTCATTGTCTGATGCTCTAATGTACCTCTGGTCGGACTGTCCCATGCTTGTTTGCATAGTTTCTTCTCATGCACTCTCTGGACAGACACCTCGATTGTACAGCGTGTGTGTGTTTTCTTCATGGCCAGACTATTCATTGAATGCAGTCAATTATGAGTTGAAATCTTCACATCCTTTTTGTGTCCGGGTTTCACCTTGTATGATATCTTGAGATTCTTGCTTTCCTTCTAGGGTCTTCTCGTCATTGATCTTTCATTGAGGTGTTGATCTTCACCCTAGCCTAGCTCATGTCCATCTCTACAACGTATGGACTAATGCACCTTGTATACTATCAAATATTGTTAGTCAAATGGTTATGTTGCCAATCAACCACCAAAATAATTAAACCCTTACTAAGGTCCATATTTCTTACACGATTGATACTAGTGTAAATTAGCAAAGATGATGTAACAAAAATGAATAGTAAAATAAACATACTCACCAACAATATAATTTAAACACAACGAACTAAAGAAAATAATGTTGTCCAACACATTGTGCTTATTAGTACGGTAATAAGTTTATTACGTATGTAATTTTCATCAAGTTATATAGTTCACTTTGTTTTTGTCAGGAGTCATACTTATCTTACCTTGACCAATTAAATTATCATAAATGTATATTAAAATTTACACAGTTTGAGTAAGTGCATTGTCAAAAGGAGGACCGAGGGGGAGCTCGTTTGGCTAGTTCCGACTGGGTTCGGGCAGCCCACCCGCATTTGAGTGCTGGCTCGCGCAGGTGCCTCACCCCGTTCCCAAAAATAATTTCCGTTGCCTCACAGGTGGATGCGCTACAATGGTCAGGGGGATGACGTGTCCGTCACGTTCGAAGCCTCGATGACTTCGGATACCTCTCAGCCACGTGTAGTCTCTTAGTATAGGTGTAGGTCTAGCTTGTGTACTAGGGCGTGTGTGTGATGATGTGAGTTGGTGTATAAGTTCAGATACTACAACTTGTACTTGAAGAGTTGAGACATAAAAAAAAGTGCATTGTCAAAACATATTTCATAGAGAATTTAATGAAAGAAATTTAATGTTGTAGGCCCTGTTCGCTTGTCTTATGAGCCGTACTATTTCAGCAAACGAACAATATTTTTCTCTCATAATAAATCAATAAACAGTACTTTCAGCCATGACTTTTCAGCAAAGCGAACAGGGCCATTGATACATTTTTCAATAATATGGTCAAAGTTAGATAAGTTTGACTTATAATATAGCTAATAATCATTTGGTCCCAGAAAATCTCATGAGGATGAACATGTTGTCCTAGAAAACTTATGTTTTAGCTCTCGGCACTATATTGGGCCCATATTACCTTCAGATTGCGGCCTGCTTGGCTCCATGCATGAGTTTTAATTAATTAGCAACTTATTTCTTAATTATGTGGATCACCTTATATAAATAGGAGTACATGTGTAATTTCTGTTGAACACTAATATGTCCTAAAAATCCTAAAACACCAAGTATTTGGGAATGGAGGTTGTAATTTCGAATTGATGGAGTAATGTACTAGCAGGTTGTTGTCTGTGCATCAATAATGCAGGTAAATGTCTGAATTAACTTCCATTATCTTGCTTGATTCAAATTGTATATCCTCTTGTCACACTAGCTGAGCTGGGATCAACATTGAAGACCTCGATCTAGAACCTTATGTCTTTAATTATGTGTCACTAATATCACGCAGTCGTCACAATATCAAGTTCAATTCCGACCTGTCTTTAAGATTGTGGCCTTGAAAAAATGGTTTGCGTTATTTATACAGCTTGTCTGTACTAGCAGCATGGCCTGCCTTGGATTCGGTTTATTTCGTCCATGCATGCTTAGAGAAGGTTTTCTTCGCATATAAAACAATATCCAGGGCAGCCTTGTCCCTAATCCAGAATAACATCACATCACCCATGTCGCGACGTGCACACAGTACTATGCATTTCAGCACATTGATCGACCGTCCACGTCCTTCTCTATTGAACAGTATACTACACTCAGTCCTCTGTTCAGTATAACAGTTTGGTATAGAATAACGCGTATATATATATATATATATATATATATATATATATATATATATATATATATATATATATATATATATATATATATATATATATATATATATATATATATATATATCAATCTTACATGTATGTGACACTATCGCATATATATATATATATATATATATATATATATATATATATATATATATATATATATATATATATATATATATATATATATATATATATATACTCAAATCTTACATGTATGTGACACTATCGCAATACAAATAAGTATACACACCCAGCTGTACTTTATTCTGTAGAAACAAAAAAAAAAAGAAGTGCAAACCACGCTAGCTAGACCTCGCATGCAACTCATAGCTAGCAATGTTGATCACTGACCATCGTAAACTCCATCGATCAGTGCTTGGCCGGAGGGTGGTAGATGGGAGTCGGTGACCCGTATGTTGGCGTCGGGGGGTGGTACTCAGGCTGTGGCTGCGATTTGGGCTCCGGCTTGAGCTTCGATGGCACAGGCTTCTTGTGGAAGTGGTCAAAGAAGTGGTGGTAGTCATGGTCCTTGTGGAAGTGATCGAGAAAGGGCTTCTTGTCCAACGATGGAGGGTGGTAGATCGGAGTCGTAGACCCGTATGTGGGCGTCGGGTGGTGGTACTCAGGCTCAGGATGTGGCTTGGGCTCCGGCTTTGGCTTCGGTGGCACAGGCTTCTTGTGGAAGTGGTCAAAGAAGTGGTGGTAGTCATGGTCCTTGTGGAAGTGATCGAGCAAGGGCTTCTTGTCGAACAAATGCCTGGCCGGAGGGTGGTAGATTGGTGTGGGTGACCCATACGTTGGCGTCGGAGAGTGGTACTCAGGCTCAGGCTGCGGTTTGGGCTCTGGCTTGGGCTTGGGCGGCACGGGCTTCTTGTGGAAGTGGTCGAAGAAGTGGTGGTAGTCATGGCCCTTGTGGAAGTGATCGGGCTCAGGCTGAGGTTTGGGCTCCGGCTTTGGCTTCGGTGGCACGGGCTTCTTGTGGAAGTGGTCGTAGTCGTGGTCCTTGTGGAAGTGATCGAGCAAGGGCTTCTTGTCGAACAAATGCCTGGCCGGAGGGTGGTAGATCGGAGTTGGAGAGCTGTACGTCGGCGTCGGAGAGTGGTACTCCGGCTGCGGCTTGGGTTCTGGCCTGGGCTTGGGCTCTGGCTTTGGCTTCGGCGGAACTGGCTTCTTGTGGAAGTGGTTGAAAAAGTGATGGTAGTCGTGGTCCTTATGAAAGTGATCAAGCGTGTGCTTCTTGTTAAACAACTGCCTGGCTGGAGGATGGTAGATCGGCGTTGGGGATCCATATGTTGGTGTAGGGGAGTGGTACTCTGGCTGCGGCTTAGGTTCTGGCTTTGGCTCTGGCTTCGGCTTCGGTGGCACAGGCTTCTCGTGGAAATGGTCCAACAGGTGCTTCTTGATCGGCCCGCACAGGGTTGCCGATGCGCATTCTGCCGATGGGTAGTCTGTCTTGCCAGGGACTACGACGAAGTTGCCCTCGGACGACTGCGGCACAATCCTGGAAGGTTCCTGACCGGGGCACGGGGTGCCCGAGGCGCTGTGGAGCTGCGCGACGCAGTCAGCGGCGTGCAGGTCCGTGCTCAGCGGGATGCTGAAGGTGCCGGAGCCATCTAGCTTGCCCATGGCCTTGCTCTCGTACTCGCCATTGCTGTTCTTGCACTTGATCGCCACCTCAAGACCTGATATGCATGGATTGAAAAGACAGTCAGTACCAGCAGCTAGCTAGCTTCTTCTGACCTAATCACTGATCAGCGTAAAGCATTCAGTATGCACTGTTAATGTTATAGCATAATTAAATGCATGTACTCCTAGTACTCTATATACCCTTGAATGCCGCCTCGGCCTTCATGTTCTTCCTGGTGCAGTCGGCGCATTTGGCGAGGCCGACGACCACCGAGGATGCCTCGCTGGAGGCAGCACTTGCGACGGCGATTACCATCAGCACGGCGCAGACGCCGGGGAGAAGGCCCCCAAGTGCCGCAGCCATGTTTGGAAGATGGATAGATGGATGACTCGATGAGATGGAGAACAGGCAATGCAATGCTTGCCTTATATAGCCCTATGCATTGATCAAACACAGCTCGATCTTACATGCATGCACGCATGATCATGAGGTGAGGCGCGCTAGCACACACATAATTTTGGCGCCGAAATTGCAGACCGGCCGGGAATTAATGCCGTCCATTTGAGTTGATCTATCTCTGTCTGCCCATTCATCATGTCCAGTCGGTTGGTAGTAGTTAGAGTTGTGTGGGTTACGTCAGTTCCGGCACTTTGCATTTGCATGCATGCAGCGTCAGTACATGCACTATGTAATGCATCCTTTCATTGGTGACATCGGAAAAGCAAACATCCTGTTTGTTTTGGTGTAAACGATCGTAAATTTTCAGCCAGAATAGCATTTTCCTCTCGTACCAAACCAGCCAGCAGTAAATAATTCACGATCGTTTACGGCCTCCCACTGAAAGTTGATGTAAAGCGCGTGTCCGGTGTGCTCATCTGCTGGACAATAAATTTCAGCACAGTAGTATAAAGTTTGTTTCAGAAAAGGGACGGTACTTTCAGAACGTGGATACAAAATAAGTTCTTTTTGGACCGTGTGTATTTGGATACAACAAATATAATATTGGAGCAGGTATTTGAGTTATTGGTTTGATACCAACTGATCACAAAAATCAATAATGGCACTGTTCGCTTGTCTTATGAGCCGTACTTTTTCAGTGAAGGAATAATATTTTTCTCTCACAACAAATCAGCAAATAGTACTTTTCAGCCTGGCTTATCAGCCAAGCGAACAGGGCCAATATCAGAGCCATTTTGGAAGTTATTGTTATCTATCAAATAGTAGGTAAAATATTGTAACAATGCCGACCATATAATGTCAAAATATATACATTCACTACTACAATAGCTTCATCATCGTTGGGCTAAAGCACACCATCACCACTGGTGGTTTTGCTCACCGGCAGTGAAAGTGGGCAATGTTGACGAGCTAGAGAACCAGCGGTGAAATCACTACAAAAGATATAGGCTTCTATGGCAATTAGATTATGATGATGACAACCTTTTTCATGTCACGGGCTGCACTCTATGACATTGCAGTGACAAAAGTGGCCATCGTCACAGAAGGTGGTTCACTTACCGACTTCTGTGACCAATAGAGAACACAGTCATGGATCCAATGACAATAGTTCTTCTGTCACTAACTTGTGACAGCAATATCTGTCACTAAACATGTCACAACATATTGAACAGAATAATGACACGTGTATGATGACATGGTACATGTTATATGACAGATGATGTGGCAGATGACATTTGGCCCATATAGCGTGGGTTTTTATTTTTTAATTAGGGTCAGCCCAGTTGGCCCACATGTTGTTTAAATCCTTTTTTTGCCCAGCTAGAAATTGGCGCATGGGCTAGTCCATTTTAAAAATCATCACAAATTATTACAGTCCAAGCTCATATTATGCGTTGGCCCATTTAAAAAATCATCACAAATTATAGACCACATGACCAATTTCATAATAAAATAATGACCATACAAAATTTTCATCTACAACAAAATACAAGTTCCAGCCATAGACATATAATAGTGCATACAAAACCATATATGATCCTGCCCATACACAAACATGAATACAAAATGGCTGTAATAGTCCTACCACCAAAACATAAGTTCTAGCCACCAAAACAGAAGTTCCAGCCATCAAAACATAATTCCAGCCACCAAATTGCCTAGTACCAAAAACCAAAATTCTCAGCCTGATCGGCTGTGCTACTTGGACTTTGTTGTTGCACATTCAAGCTGCTGAACAATAGTAACAATAGTTGGAATATATACAGCACAACCCAAGTAGCTGAAGCGATCACAACCTCTAAGTTCAACTACACTAACAGTAATAGCCACCAAATTACAAGTTCAGCTATAGTAATAGGCAAGCCAACTTCCTGTTCAACCATACACATATAGTACCATGCACCAAAATTTCAGCCACCAAAATACAGCTCAACAGTCTTGAGAGCATATAGCAAGCTCAGGGAGGAGTGATATGACCCTGTCCAAATGTTATCATTTCTTGAATAAGGCTTTGAGCATATGTTGTCATCTTCTTTAGGCTCTAAATCTCCTCAGCTTATTTGTCAATTTTTGCATCATATTCTAGTGTCTACTCCTCCAATCTTTCAACCTCCTATTGAAGTCCTGCAGACTCTAGCTTCTCTGCCTCCAATTCAGCTTGTAGCTCTTGCATCTCTGTTGAAACATTGTTTGTCTTGGCAGCAAGCTGCTGAATTCCAACATTGTGAAGAAATGTATTTGGCTTCGGCAGGACTAGGGAAACAGCTTCTGTAGAAGTCTTTTGTTGCTACCCATCTTGTAGTGAGGGCTTCGAGGCATTCATATCATGCTAGCAATCAAAGCAACGTTTCAGTTTTGATTTATTATGCAAATAAAGCTTCATTGCATAAGGTATCTAGTAAAAGAATGAAAAGAAGAGGTAAGAATCTAGTACTTACTATTGCTTTCTTCCCGGGTTCACTAAAACCTTTAGTTTTGCTATGATGTATCTCTTCGAATAGATCAATTGCAGTGGGCCCTGTATCTTTGTATTTTTCATGCTTCTGTAATGTTGAGAGAAACATGATGCAGTGCATAAATAACATAAAAAACATGTTCCCCAGCACAAGCATGATCTCCTTCAACTTGATGACATCATAGTTTTTTCTTACAACGATATAGGCTTGTGCAATGTAAGAAAGATCCGGTACGCAGTTGAAACTGAATTTTTTCACAACTCAGCTGGTTTTTAGCACATTTCTCCTATACACGACACAATTATGTAGCATAAGTAATAGAACCACTATAGTTAATTAATGATTTTGTTTTGTCAAATATAAGAGAAGCAATAGATATATTGCATATAAGAGCTAATTTTTTTTGTCTGCATTGTTTTAAATTTGGGGCTCTTGCATTTCCACCCTTGTTTTGTATTGAAATTGTGATTTTTCCCCTATTTTTTTAACTTTGCGAATATACCCCTTGTGTTTTTAAAATCAAGCATCACTTTGCCCCTAATCCGTCATCCTCCCCTAACGGTGTTAACTTTTGTACAGAAGGACAAAAATGTCCATGTGATTTCGCCTCTGGTTTTTATGACTATTTGTGATTTTACACCTGATTTGGAATAAAAAATTTATATTATATTTTGAAAAAAATGTCAAATATATCTGGCGCAATTTGCAATTTGCAATTATTTAAAATTGGATTTAATATATTGAAAAATTAAAATTTTGGCAACATTTTGGCCGCATCTTAGCAATAGCTTAGGTTAGGGATTTGGGTCCGAAATGACTTCTGTTAGGGATGAGAATGGATACGACCAGCCTCCTCCATGCGAGACAGGTGCCTGCAGACGCGGAGATGTGGTCGTCGCCTTCCCGCGAGCTCATACGACCCGCGCGCCGCCTCCCCGTGAGTAGCAGACGACCCGCGGCTGCCTCCTGCGCCCCGCACACCGAGCACCACGTCACGTGCGCAAGGCACCGCGGCCCGCAGCAGCCCTGTGCGCCGCCTGCTACCGCCGTTGCCCGAGCGCCGCGTGCCGAGCACCGCATCCCCACGCACCATCCGCTACCACCATAGCCCGCGTCGCGCCCCGTCGCTGCCCCGCATGTCGTGCGCTGGTGCTGCAGCCTGCATGCCACGAGCTTATGCCGCCGCCGCCGTTGTGCCCCGCCTCTGGATGCGCCCCCACTCAGTCATCGCCCATGAGATTTTGTATTTTTTAAATTTATTTTTTCCAGGCCCATTTGATGTTTATCCAAACCAGGGGCAAACGGAGGATTTCTTTCAAAATAGCGAGGGCAAAATCACAAAGTTAAAAAAAATAAGGACAAAATCACAATTAGACTGCTGGACAGGGGCAAGAATACAATATTTCCATTAAATTTTATCTTGATGATACTTCTTATACTTATTTGAATACTAAGATTGACTAAGATAGATCCACAAAAGGGGTATTTGAAATTATTTCATAAGTAAAGATTAGTCATGCTCCAATCTAAGGGTGATAAGCTTTCTTAATGATGTACGTTGACATAAGCATTCTATATAAGTACTACAACTAAGCCATAAGCATTATAATTAAGTTATAAGAATGATGATAAAGTTATTACACACACTTAAATCTTATAACCAAGATTCTTGGCAAACATAGTCCAGGAATGGACCCCTAGAATGTTATAAAGTAATCTTGCTTTTATGTATATAGAGTATTACGTGCTCCAATCCTGAATAAGAAGTCTAGTAACCACTAAGTTATAGGTTGCTATGGCACTAATCTTCCTTTGCAACTAGTGTTGATATTAAGAAATCCGCATATTGTGGAATGGCTTCATCCTAGCTCAAAAGTATGGTTAGTGATACAAACTAAGCTATAGCATGTTTAATTAATATAAGTTAAGTTTACTTTGTCTTAAGAATAAAGTATTATTATTATAAGTTACTTTTTAGCATAAGATATTTATCCCGGAATATGTTATATAAGAAGTGCAGTTTTTGGTTCAAGTAACACATCAAGTGGTTTTGCCAAATCGAAGACAGTGTGAAAGACCAACCCAGAATCAAAGTTAATCATATAAGTTGTTGGTTCACATTATGAAAGTTTTAAGTTTTACGTTTTAAGTGTTGATCACATATTCAGTTTATTTATTCCCACCATAGGCCTATCTTAAGTTGCCGGCATAAAGTTTAATGGTAGTCTAACATATGGGATAAGATTGAGATCTCAAAATTGTCATTTTGGAAGTACAGATAATTCTTTGTATGTGCACAAAAGCATAAGTGAAAACAAACTACACAATAGGACCATAAAGAGGCCATCCTAAGACTAAGAGTGAACTATTCTGAGATATGGATGGTGCACTATAGTGATTAGGCTCATCAGTGCTTATCAATTAACCGTGGCAATCATTTCATCTTGGTGCATTGCTTTATTGAAGAATTAAGATACATAGTGTTATCTCCCCATAAGTTTCTCTAAAATGTATAAGTAATTGTTCTATTTAATGTAGAGTGGTGATGCTTGATCTAATGGTACTTATAACTGGCTGTTACGATTTTTCATCTTAGTATACTATTCTATTGGGAATGGGACTAGAGTAATAAAATTACTAAGTTATTCGATCAAGCGGGAGAATGTTGGAATGATCTCGGCTTAGTCAATGACAAACTGAGTCATTAAGGGCTTAAAGGCCCGCTAACAATCCATGACCGATGGACATAACAGACCCAACTGTCACTGGCCTTGTCCCAGGGTGCCCGAGCTATAAGAAGAGGGATCACGGTGTCTAATTAACGATGTGATAAGACTGTTATTTAACAACCTATCGGTCAATGTAAGTTCGGTGCATCTTGTGAAGACTAGGAGACAGCCGCCAGCCACCCTTGTGTCGGCGTCCTTGTCACCGACATATCCCTAGAGAAGGAGATCGACACTACGCCTTCACCACGCAGGCATGAGGACTTCAGCAGCTCTCTAGGCATCTTCATATAAAGGTACGATGTAAGAAATCCTAATCCCCTCAGTGCTAGGTGTTGTAATGGACTGAGCTAGGCGAACTCAGATCCTGTCTAGAGCTAATATTTTGTAACACACAGTTCATGTGTAGACTACTAGACCTTGTTATTGTGCCATCAGTACTTGAGCAGGCTCATTTGTGCTGCAGAGGCATTGATTACCAACCAGCAAATTCGGCGACAAAAGTTAGAAGAAGGATCACGTCAGTAACCACTCCACGTACCCACAGATCGATCGACATGCATGCAGTGCAAAGAGATCTGCTATATATACCAAGCACTGACTCTCCTAGCTCTTCACCCATCTTCTACCATTTCATACGTAACAGGTTGCTAGCTCATGTGCTGGACGTGTTTCGCAAGCATGGAGGCTGCACCACGCAGATTCCTCCTCGGTGTTTGCGTGGTGGCCATGCTGATGGCGATCGCCGTCGCAAACGCTGGGTCCGGCGAGGCGGCGTCGGTCATCGGCCTAGCCAAGTGCGCGGACTGCACGAGGAAGAACGTGAATGCTGAGGCGGCTTTCAGTGGTAAAAAGTTATATAGAGTAATTAAGTGCGCTACTTTTATCAGTACGATCCCTCCCGGCCGTATTTTCTTGTCTTTTTGGCGCCTACATCTATCTCAGGTCTTAAGGTGGCGATCAAATGCAAGAACAGCAACGGTGAGTACGAGAGCAAGGCTGTCGGCGAGCTCCAAAGCTCCGGCGCCTTCAGCGTCCCTGTCTCCGTCAACCTCGCCGACTGCGTCGCGCAGCTCCACAGTGCAGCAGGCACGCCATGCCCGGGGCAGGAGCCGTCGAGGATCACGCCGTTGTCCGATGGCACCTTCGTTGCCGTCCCCGGGAAGACGCAACAAGCGTCGTCTGCGGTGTGTGCGTCGGTGACAATCTGCGGCCCGATCAAGAATTATTTTCACGAGCACTTCCACAAGAAGGAAGAGAAGCCGGAGCCGTCAAAGCCCGAACCAGAGCCCAAGCCACAGCCAGAACACCAGCCCCCAACGCCAACGTACGGGTCGCCATCGCCAACGACTCCAATCTACCATCCTCCTGCAATGCACATGCGCTTGACCGATCACTTCCACAAAGACCACGAGCTCGAGCACTTCTTCGACCACTTCCACAGGAAGCCTGTTGTACCACCGAAGCATGAGCCACAGCCGAAACCACAGCCAGAGAACCAGCCTCCAACACCGACGTACGGGTCAGCAACGCCCAAAAACGGGTCCCCAGCTCCTGTGAGCAACCATGCTCCGCACATGTTCGATCACTTCTACAAGGGTCACCATCACCACCACTTCTTCGACTACTTCCACAAGAAGCGTGTGCCACCAGAGCCTAAGCCAGAGCCCAAGCCACAACCAGAAAACCACCCTCCCGTGCAAACGTTTGGCTCGCCTCCTCCACTCTACCACCCTCCGGCCAAGCATTGAGTCCGTTTTGTTGCCTTGAAATGATGCGTACTTGATAATCTTGCATGATATTGCACTACTATCTATTAGTTTCTGAAGAATAATGGTTGTGATACATAAGTGTGTGAGAGACTCTTTTTCTTTTTCCCAAGACACAAGTGTGGGACTAGAGTCATGGTTATCCATATCTTTCAGCTGCAAATGTGTGTTTTAATTTATTGTGAACTATGAGACATGGGGAAATGTAATATTATCTGAATGAGTGGAAGTTATGCCAAGATGTGTGCTTTATCACTGTATTAATTTTCACGTACGTCTTGTTAGGATTGATCTCTGCTTTCTCAAGAATTGACTGAGTCTAGGAGCCTAACAACCCAAGTAACAGACGACTAAGTTGGCTTGACAGGGTAAGGATACTCCCATCTCACGGGTGGGTGATGTGAATTAATCCGAATCCCTAGTACCTACCGATCAAGGTTAACTCGGGTGTGATTTTGAAGACCTGAGCCATCCGCCGGCCACCGTCCCATGTTGGCGACCATCACCTCAACACCGAACCATGCCTGCTGTGGGCATCTTCGTCTAAAGGTTAGCGACGATTAAGTGCTAACAGGTGGATCAAGTATTCACAGGTTATGCTAATCTCGATCATTATTAAGCTTAAGTCTAACACGTCTAAGCTGTGTCCCATGCATCATAGAATTTGAATATTTGATTGTCCAAGTATATATTTGGATGTACAGGCCGCAGTTTACCGTGGTCGATGTTTATGGAATATTGAATTGCGCTGCTTAAAATAACATCATGGTTATATTCGACTAATCAACTGCCTCCGCATCCTAGAAAATCAATATGCTGGAAATACCCTAATAAAAATGGTATGAAACTACTGTGTTCTAAATGAGTGCTGAATAAATCGATGAACCAGGAAACAGACATTCCAACAGTAACATGTTTAGCAGAAGTTTTTTTTTACTTGCCTTCCACTGCTCGCTACAACTACAATCCCAAAGAGCCAAACAGATAGACCTTGCAGTACTGTAACTGTGATCTACCAGAAAAGAAATGAGATTAAGGCTTAGTACATAAGTAAAAGTACCTTGAGTCCTTGACATTCATAAAACCACCCTAAATCAAGGACAAGATCATTTGGTACCCCGTTCCTGCTTTTTTATAGAATGACCCTTCAGTGAACATTGTACACTGCACAAGAGAACTTGTTATCTGCTAGTTCTTTCTACTTCACATATAGACAACTTCAGGGCGTGTACAACCCGTAAATAGGGATCGTCTGCAAGATCCTCGAATCTAACATACAGATAGACTGTTTATTTGTTGAGATACCAAGTCTTTGGTGGACTTGTCCATAGTCGAACGAAGACTTAACCTGTTTATTTGTTGAATTGTTGTGATACCAGGCGGCCCAGAAGAATTCAGAAGCGAAGTCCGATTACATCCGGAGCCATTTCACCAAGCCGAGCTAGAGGAAGAGAACAAAGGCCTTAGGTATCGCCGATCGGAGACCCAAGGTATTGTTTCTTCGGCTGGTGACTCAGCACTTCAGGTTTTACCTTCCTACTGAGACCTTAATGGTTTGATTTGTTCCTCAGCCGCTGCCGATGCTGTGCTGAATGTCGATCAAGAGAAAGCCGCGCTGCAAGCCGCTACCACAGCTTACTCGACTGAGAAGAAGCTGTGGGAGCAGGATCAAGAGGAGCTGGCGAGGCAGCAGAGGCAGTCTCAAGGTAGCTATTTGTGTTTTGGTTTCTTTTTTGCCTCCCTAGTCTCAGGCCCTAACTTGTGCTTTGCTGTTTAGTAGCAGACTGTCAGATACAAGAAGAGAACGGCGAAGGTGCGGTGATTGCTGAATGCGGATGTCTGAAGACAGCTTATGAAGGGCGGTCTAGCTATCATGCTATTGTCGGCAACGCGTGTGTGTTGGCGAGGCGTTGTGTCGTAGTGGGCCGGCCGTAACGGTTTGCCAGGGCCGGGTGGCCGCGTAGCCTATAAAAGACGAAGATTGTAACTGAATCGGTTATGCAGTAAGGAATACAAAATCTGAATCGTCCCTATCGTCTCTGCCTGAACTCTGCTCTGACTCTGTTCTTGCTGATTCTTCCTCGACCAAATCACCAACACACATGCTTGCCTGCAAAATTGTGGTGTACATGAACTCTAAATTATTCTAAATTTCTGCTGCTACCCTTTGCACTCCCTGGCCCGTTGCTCAAATTTAGATTTTGCAGCACCACTGTCAGCTCAACTGTTTTTGGGTCGTTGTACATCCTGAACGTTGTTGCAGCTTGCCTCTGCACCTTTGTCAGCAAAAGGTTCTGTTAGGGCTCAGCAGTAGTTACAGGAACTTGGTCTGATTTTTTTTTTACTCCTATACAGTTTACTAACTGGAATTAGTTATTTGGATGTTCTCTAAAAGTGAGGCACATCAGTAGGAAATTTCATGTATTACAAACAAATAAGTTGTTTAAGTCGTTATGTGTTGGAGTCTATATAATTGGATTTTACAGTCTTTTGAGCATATTTCTGGTCTTTTGAGCACCCTTACAAAATCCACATACACAGACACATTTTTCTGGTAATTTGAGCATGTTCTTATCAGAAGTTGTTTTTAGTTCAGTAAACATGTTTCAATTGTGACATGAATGCAAATTATCATGTAAAGTGTATATCTAGAATTTCAGCAAACACAACTCGCGGCAGTGTGTTTGTGCTAACACAAGTCTGATTGTGTGAGAGTGGAGCATCACACTAGGCGAGTGGTAGCCGTAACAGTTCGGTAGCCGTGTAGCTGTGGTGGTTTCATCTGCTTGCTGATCAGGTAGCAGTGTACTGCTCTGTTTTGTGACTTGATACAGTACAACTTAGCTTGCAGTTACATGTACGCTTCGTGTGCCTGCTATCTCCCAAAGACGCCGTTCAACACTAGTGACGCTGAAAGCTCTTGACATGCTAGGAGTCGCTCCATCAAATACACAAGCATTGCGATGTGTCCAGATAATCCAAGCCCCTAGCGCGACCAAGGAATCAAATCCCTTTTGGTGTTCTCGAATTATGCGCCATGATCTATCCACCATTCATCAGACTCGGTATCAGCTGGCTGATAATGTTTTTAAGCTTCAATAGCTCATGCATATTTAGATGGGCAGTGCTGCACATTTTCATCATAATATAGATGATTTGCGAGCATACACCAAGAAACTGGACATGAAAGATAATAAAACAAGTGTCATTTCACTATAGCCATAATTGTAAGAAATCTGATAACGAGTTTTGATTCAAAATTTCAGGTTATGATATTCAAACTAAACATTAGGCCATTTAAGTGCCGATGAGGCAACATGTCAATAGAGAATATACATAAACATCGCCCACAGTACAACTTTCAGAAGGCACACACATATGAATCAGCCTGATCGGGTGTCCTTGCTGCACAGCCGCAGCCGCTGCTTGTTTTCTGCATAAGTTACTGTAGCTTCTATGAGGGAAGGCTGCAGCAGCAGCGCTGCAGCTATCACAACTGATCGGAGTGGCTCCGATCGGTTGTATTGTGATAGCTGCAGATTATTTATAAGTATTAAAATTTGAAACCAAACTAGCTATATTCTTTGGTATATTAGTTCAGAATTACTGATACTATTTATATAGTATGCCTCATACAGGTCAAACAGCTTCATGCCCAAGTGCCTACATATTGGACAGAGGCATTACTTTGGCATATAACATAGCAACACATATACCATATATGTGTCAGTTTGGATATTTGTTAAAAGAAATCATCGAAGCTTAATATTGGTCCACTTAATGTTACTGTGATCAAGGTAATAAATCAAAAAGACAAGTTTTATGTAGGTGAAAGTTTTTCTAGCTCTTATTTCATAATATATAGAACTGTCAGTGATCCTATCTCTTCTGAGAAAAAATAGAACTGTACCAGTAAGCTAGAAAAATGGGAAAGGTGATGTGCTTGTGTGTTTCCTTGTGGGTCTTCCATTGTACTTAGCTGTGTTGTGTTTGAATATGCATGACCTGAGACTAGGCACATCTATGGAACCCTACCTCAGTACATCAGACTCTGAAACTGAAGGTCCATCGATGTTATCCATGTTAATACCAATTCTTGTCTCAGCATCTCATTTGCTGAAGAATTTAGAACATCGTTGTCATTGTAATCTTGATTCCTGCAATCAATCTCATCAGAGGAGGTACATCTCATGTTTTGAATTGGAAAACTGCATGAAAAAGCTTTCACCTGACATATATGCACCTCATCGTCCTCCAAACTGCCTTTGCGGACCTTTCATGAAAGCAAGACAGAGAACTGAGAGAAGGCACTGGATTCAAAACTACCAAAGCTCAAATGAGCACAGTCTGCATTCGCAGCTTGCAGATGATCAGGGAATATCATAAATGTTGATTCTGTAATGAATGTAAACATGTATTGAGCATGTATGTGATGTTGTATGGTTAAGCTATATCTATATGTCGTTCGATGATTAAAATCTGATTTCTGTTTTATAATGCAATTGCTAATGGTGGAAAATTATGTGGGCTGATTGTGGTGTGGGCTGTACTGTGTAAAGCTGGGCCTAGGCTGAATGTGCTGTGGGCAGGACTGTGTATAGCTGGGCTTGGGTTGATTTGCCGAAAAATGGTCTTGTTGATTTGAGGAAAAAAATGAGCTGATTTGGGACAAGAAAATGGGCCGAAAACACTAAAAACTAAATGAGACAAGATGAAAAGAAACAACCCAAGTCAGCGCCTTAACAGGTCAAATTTTAGTTTTTTGACATTTGTGGTCTTTTAGAAGTCTGCCTCTCATATGGGCCTTAACAGGCCTAATTTTAGATTTATGACGTTTTCGCCACTTGCTAAGTGAGCGCCACATCAACATGGCATCCCACGTGGCGCTTGTACACGTGGTAGAGGTCTATGCGGTTGTGACATAAAAACTAATGTCAATAATCTCTATGCCATAAAAATCAACAACATATGCTCAATGACAT